AGGGAGGGAGGAAGGAAGGAAAGAAGGAAGGACAGAAAGAAAGGGAAGGAAGGAAGGAAGGAAGGAAGGAAGGAAGGAAGGAAGGAAGGGAAGGCTGGCTGATTTATGGAGCATCTACTGATAGTCATTTTACATGTTGCCCCATTTAATCTCTACACTTTCCCTGAGAGGTGAGGATAATTACCGCCATTTTTATTAATTAGAAAACTGGATGTTTAGAGAAGTTAAATTACTTTCTGAGGTCACAGATCTAGTTAAATGGTAAAGGTCAGAGTGACTGCGAAGCCCATGCTCCTTTCCCTACACTACAGTGCTTCTCTTGCAAATGACAATATAGAAATGTAAACTATTCCAATACGCAAGCTTGAAATTGGACACTTACCAAAAACAACAGGGGTGAAGTAAGGAAAACAATTTAGGACTCCTGTGTCAACTTCACAGAATCTATCTTAAAACCGCTGGCAATGACAAGAAGAAAAAGAGAACCACTAAAGAACTTTGAGAACTGCCTCCTCATTGTAGACACCAACCTCAACAAAGACCTACCTGAGCTAGCTCATAGGGTCAGAAAATGTAAGACTTAGAAGGATCCAGAATAATTTCCTCTAAACCCTTCATTCACAGAGTAAATAAAATGAAGCCCAATGTCACAGATAACTAAAATTAGCACTTGGTCTAGAAATCTTCTCTTTATTTAAATTTTCTTTATTCTCCACTGAACAAAGAGAAATTGGAAGAATATAAGGTATCTCCCCACTTCAGACCTACAGTCCACCTCTCCACAGTCAATCTTCAAAAGAGGCAGGTGGAGAGCCATGTGATGGCATTTTCAACTGTTGCAAAAGATCTTCCCTGCCCTTTCAGAATGCCCCTTCTTCATGCCTGCCTCCCTGGCTCACACAGAATAAATCCACTCCTTCGAGCAAAGATACTCTATCCTGAGAAGGAGTCGTCTGCAAAATTGTATGCTTTTATAAAGGCCAGGCCACTATCAAACATTAACTTGCCAATATAGGTCCAATCAAGCAAAGCCGATTTCCAAGAATAGGAAGCTGGACTAACACAGATGACTTGAGGCTCCACACAGGGCTTGCACACAATTAGAGTCTACGGATATCATTTGGCTTGAACAGAATTGAATCATACTGATTTCTAGACAAGAATCCTAAATTGTATTGCCTCTAGACCTTCAGCTAGTACCTAAAGCAAAATCAATTGCTCTAGGGAAAAACAAGTTTGTAAGGACAATAATAACATGCAAGTAAATACATTTTTACTAAAGAATGGGAGGGTCTCTCACACCAAAAAGAAAATGTTTTACTATTGTGAATAGTGCCGCAATAAACATATATGTGCATGTGTCTTTATAGCAGCATGATGTATAATCATTTGGGTATATACCCAGTCATAGGATGGCTGTGTCAAATGGTATTTCCAGTTCTAGATAGTAAAGACTTGGAAACAACCCAAATGTCCATCAATGGTAGACTGGATTAAGAAAATGTGGCACACATACACCATGGAATACTATGCAGCCATAGAAAAGAATGAGTTCATGTCCTTTGTAGGGACATGGATGAAGCTGGAAACCATCATTCTGAGCAAACTATCACAAGGACAGAAAACCAAACACTACGTGTTCTCACTCATAGGTGAGAATTGAACACTGAGAACACTTGAACACAGGGTAGGGAACATCACACACTAGGGTCTGTCATGGAGTGGGGGAGAGGAGAAGGATAGCATTAGGATATATACCTAATGTAAATGACGAGTTAAGTGGGTGCAGCACATCAACATGACACATGTATATATATGAAACAAACCTGCACCTTGTGCACATGTACCCTAGAACTTAAAGTATAATAATAAAAAAGACAAAATAAATAAATAAATATCATGCTTGTACAAAAAAAAGAAAAGAAAAGAAAAAAGAAAATGTTTTAAGCCTCTGTTTCAGAAAACCTCCTGAGCCTTGATTTTCCTCTGCTCTCACACCACCAAAACAGTCATCAACAAAGAACTCAATGACCAAAGGTAAGGGGATTTTTCCCCACACACCAAGCAGCAGACACCAGCTGGGTATCCTCTATTTAAATTCTGACACTATCTACCTGGAGATAGCGTCAGATCCCACAGGGTGAAGGCTCGGCCCCCAAAATTGCCCCCCACCCCACAGACACCAGTGGCAAGTCTGGGCCTCCAGAACTCCCAATGACCCGCTTTAAGTAGGGATTCTCATGACCCCCTCTCTGAGTTCAATTAATTTGCTGGAGCTGCGCACAGAACTCAGATAAACACATTTACAGATTTGTTATAAAGGTTGTTACAAAGGATAACCTTGAAGAGATGCGTAGGGCCAGGCAGGGAGGAAGGGGCACAGAGATTCCATGCCCTTGTCATCCTCCAGTAATCTCCATGTGTTCAGCCATCCAGAAGCTCTCCAAACCCTGTCCTTTTTGTTTTTCTCATAGGCATGATTGACAACTGAATAGAAATGTGATTGGACAAAAAGGGTATGACCTCATACGAATAGACTGAGTTGGGAAGCCCAGCAAGGCATACCTGTTGAAGCTGGAAACCATCATTCTGAGCAAACTATCACAAGGACAGAAAACCAAACACCGCATGTTCTGCCTGGGGTTCCCCTTGGCCTCTCTGTGCAGCTTTTCTTCCTCCAGAGTATGGGTCCGGACTCTGTCTGGAATGATGGTCTTTTGATCTACAATCAGATTAGAGGCCTGCCTTGAAGCAGGTAAAAGGGGGACAGGAGAGGGTCAGAGAAAGAGATTCTGTTGGCTGGGCGCAGTGGCTCACGCCTATAATCCTAGCACTTTGGGAGGCTGAGGCAAGCAGATTGCCTGAGCCCAGGAGTTCGAGATGAGCCTGGGCAACACGGTGAAACCCTATCTACAAAAATACAAAAAAATTAGCCAGGCATGGCAGTGTGCACCTGTAGTCCCAACTCCTTGGGAGGTTGAGGCAGGAGAATTGCTTGAACCCAGGAGGCAGAGGTTGCAGTGAGCCAAGATTGCGCCACTGCACTCCAGCCTAGGTGACAGAGTGAGACTCCATCTCCAAAAAAAAAAAAAAAAAAAAAAAAAAAGAGAGAGAGATTCTGTTTCCTGAGACCTGCTCCTGAGCCGTAAAGCACCTCAACATTGTAACAAAAGACTGTAACAAGGACTCTGGGAGCTATGAGCCAGGAACTGTGGATGAAAACCAATATATTAATATTTATATAATCGTAATATCATAGCCTCCAAACACGAGGAAAAGCAATTATTTGTTAGTTGGATTTTCTAGTTAAAGTAAATAAAATTTAGTGGGTTACTCCTGTAATAGTCTATATATAAGGTCAAGTTTGATCTAAGAGCATTTTTCGTAATACTAAAATCAAATAGGAATTCTCTCCTGTCTCTATGTTCCTCAGGAAATGCCCAAATTTCCAAACAGTGCTGATGCGATTTAAGATCTCCTCCTTTAGCATCTAGAAGACTATTTACTTTTTTAAAAATAAACTTATTTCAGAATAAATTTACCAAAAAATTGTGAAAATAGTGCAAGAGTTCCCATACACCCACACCAGTTTCCCCGTTATCATTATCTGATGGTGCACTTGTAACAACTAATGAAACAATGCTGATATGCTATTATTAACTGAAGTCCATACTTTATTCCGATTTCCTTAGTTTTTACCTAATGTCCTTTTACTGTTCCAATATCCCACCCAGCACACCACGTTACATTTAG